ATGGAAGTCATAAGTTTTCGCCCAATAGTTACAGAAATGCACACTCACCATTCTAATCAGTGATTTGAAGTAAATGGTATTTTTAATGAGAGTTAATGAGTCATCTTGGTTCTGTAGTTCGCAAAACCCGCCGGACCTTCACCAATTACAAGACCAAGTTGATTTCCCTCCTTCATTCTGACAGAACAGTTACTGCACCTGGAAGGGTATGGAGAAGGCCATATACGACTCCTTTTTTCGGATCCTCGTCTACCTGTCTACCCACCGTCTTAGGCAAGACGGATATATCGCTCTGCAAAAGGAAACTTGAAGAAGGGTTCTATTAGGTTGATGCATAATTATTGCGGATTTTTTCGCGGCTTTTTTTCTCTCGATAGAANTTGCACCATATAAGAAGAAGGGTATCCAGAGGAGTTCAAAATAACTTTACTCGCAAATTAATGCTCCGCTGCCTACGTGCAAAATATCCCGATATTCCGCATGGTTCTGGACGAAATAAACTTTTCCGTTTAAAATCTTTGGAGTGGAGGCGAAAAATTTGATATCCTTATAGCCTTTAAAATTCTAAATGGTCTGACTAAAATGGATGCCTCTAAGTTTCTTGTGATTGATCATTCTAAATAATATGAGAGGTACCTCCGCTATGATTTCAACTGCTTCAGCTCGATCCCAGGTTTAGTCACAGTTTTTCAGTAATAGAATTTGACTCCTTCCAATACTCTTTTACGTCGCTATCTTCCTTCAAACTATAATGTGTTTAAAAGAGCACTGGACAAGTACATCTGATCTGTCCTTGGTCTTCAAATGTATTTTATTTTATTTTGTTCTATACGTTTATGTAGATGTTGTATATTTTGTAATGTATTTTTACTAACTTAAGTGTTCCACATGCCTACTGGCATGTCCGTTAATAAATAAATAGATAAATAACATAAGTGGGCGCACTAATGGACCTCAGCGGGACGATACTGATTGGGAGACAAAGTGTGGTAGTTATGGTGGAAATAATTTTTCTTCCAATTTCTAGAGCCTTAGTTATTCTTTCTCAGCTATTTTGCGAGAGGTGTTGCCAATTTTGCTGAGCATAACAACTGTACCTTTTTCTTCCTCGCTCTGGACTGAATTGAATATTTCGGGATTGAAGAAGCTTTTTGCTACCAGGACCTTGCCCTGAATCAGTCAGTCAATCAGAATCAAAAAAATGTCGACCGCTTGTCAGATTGACAGGTACCGTTAATCAATGAGAAGATACAACCGATTTAATGACCTTTTTCCGTACACTTCTTACCAATCTTTACCAACTATGACCCATCAATCCACTTAACACCTATGGACATCAGGCTCAACGGTGAACATTAATCGCACGACAAATTTACAACTGCTTTTTGCCGTTTCTTATCAGCCTTTATCAGGCTACAACCTTCTGCCGCTTACCGTTTGTGTCCCATCTCACACTAATCTCACGCTTAGGGAATTGGAACACCTTATACATATGCAAAATAATGGAAGTCATAAGTTTTCGCCCAATAGTTACAGAAATGCACACTCACCATTCTAATCAGTAATTTGAAGTAAATGGTATTTTTAATGAGAGTTAATGAGTCATCTTGGTTCTGTAGTTCGCAAAACCCGCCGGAGCTTCACCAATTACAAGACCAAGTTGATTTCCCTCCTTCATTCTGACAGAACAGTTACTGCATCTAGGAGGGTAGTGGAGAAGGTCATATACTACTTCCTTTTTAGATCCACGTCTACCTGTCTACCCACCATCTTAGGCAAGACGGATATATCGCTCTGCAAAAGGGGTGACTCGAAGAAGAGTTCTACTTTGACAATGATTTTTCAGTGCCGTTCCCGAGAACATCATGCGCTATTTGGAATAAGAACAAATGGAAGTAAAGGTCGACTTCGCTACTTACATCAAATCCGCTTTGCAGGCGATGTCAGGTTTATAGCGCCGAACATCAAGCAGGCAGCACGAATGCTCGCTCAATTCGACAGCGCTTGTGAAAAGATCGGATTACGACGGAATCTTACGAAGACGATATTCATACGGGACGAATTCGTACCTGATACCTCCTTCACGCTTGACGAAGCGAATATCTTCGGATGCTCTATGTATCTACGTGCATCTTGGTCAAAAAGTGAACATGATTAGAGACCTGGCCCGAAGCTGAATAGAAGGAAACGCGCTGTGTGGGAACATTTAGAAATATCGGAAAAGCAGTGAAGTAGACAAAGATAATTAGTGTCCATTCCCCAAGGATCGAGGGGAACGATTCGAGTGAATGCTAGAAATGTGTTCTTACTCCCAACCATATCCAACCATATCCGACAAAAGGTTCGCAATCTTTTACGCCAATCTATGCCGCATACCATATTGCGTCAATTCCTCTCCGCATAAAAGTAGGGATCATCTACCAAATTCGATGGGAGGTTTGTGGTGTTGAAAATAGGTACAGGTGGGACAGAGCGCTCTTTGGTACACGAATGAACTTCGATGAACTTTTATGTCGATGTCTAGCGAAGCTGACCTATGGGCAGAATTGTTCGAACGTAATCTAGCAAATCTCTTGCCTGAAAAAACTGTGCATAGCTGGCTGAGATTTGGCACGGCTCATGGTTCCTGTGAGGCCTCTTGCTCAAGAACGCTACGGATCTTTGACTAGTACTATGTATGCTCGTTTCAGCCTTTCGATTTCAAACTTTATAGGACCAGTATCGGCCCATATGCTCAAGTATTCAAGAGAATACTTGTTGACTCGCACCGAATTCACATTGTCAGACGAAAGTAAATTACAGGTGTACCTGAGTGAGCGCGTGATTAAGTGTGAAAAGACGCGGGTCAAATGGAGCCTTGGAGATAAAGCTATAGTAAAACCCTTGAAGTGAAACGCAACGCTCGCTCGCTCAAAAGCATGCCCGTGGCCACGAGCCAGGGGAGGTGCCCAAACTCCACGGCAAACCTACAAGAGTTGAGCGGTGTTTTTTTTCAGTTTTTTTCTTTTCCCCGCAGTACATAAAAGACTGCAGAGAAAAAAAAACAAAAGTAAAAACTCGGATGCTTGCTGTGGCCTCCTTATCTATGTAAATGTGTCAGAAGGGCATTTATGGGCTCTAAGTAGCTTTGCATTGTGTTGATAGTTGTAATTTCTCACATCACAATCATCTACACAGACTTTCAGTGCTAATAGTACTGCCTTTTTCTTTATCGAAGCCTTTCTCACGGTGTTTTTCAAAGCGATCGTTTCCGTATTACCTCTGGGTCTCTGCGATCAGCCTTGCTGTTTGATTGACAAGCAATAGTAATTGCCTGCACATAATTCAGATTCAATATTTGAGGCACTCAGACGTTGTTGGAGAAGTCTGAATTCAGTGAACGATTGAGCTGCGCAATGTGAAACCACGCTTTGTTTGCTCGCCTGGCCTAATAATTTTTCGTCGTCTAGACAAAGTGGTAACCGGAGAGGAGAAGTGATACTTATGTAAAACCGCCTTAGGTTAGCTAGTGGGGAGTTGTTCATTTCTATACAACACCAACATACGGGATAGATCTTATCTACCGTCTACTTGTTCAACGAAGCAGAATTGGCTTAGGCCTTCATGCTATTTGCTAAGTCTCGGTAGAGCACTGTGTCCTACCCTAGTATTGGTAGATCGTCTGCGGTTTCCTTCTGTTATGAGAACATTTCCAATGGCAACACTTGTTCTACATATTCATCGCTCTGTGCAGAGTCCTGATAAGGTTTTTCGTCACTGGCGATGTAACTCTTCTAGCGATATGGTCTTACCTTGTCTACTAGTATGTAATGGTTTAGTAATTGACACCTCAACAGCAACACATTTTTGCTGTAACTTCAAGGGGATATGTGGAAAATTCGTAGCTAAGCGTTAATTAGCGCTGCATATGATGCAGCAGTAATGCGTCTTTGTAGGGTACTACATGATGCTTCTCTCTCGAGGATCGTAAAACCGTGCATAAGTGGGGTCCGGTTCAAATTTAAATTTCTGAAAATTTCACCAGGACCCACGAGAATGTTCGAAAGCTATTTAGATTAGTGATAACCGAAATTTGCTGAATCCTAAGATATTCTAAAATAACTCTAGTAAAAGCTAATACCGTTCCCGACATTAATGTTGACATTTGTCAAGGAAATGGAATGTCACTTCAATGGCACATCATTCTTATCATTTCTCAGAGTTGTCCGTTGAACGTTCTTTCAATGTTTTATCATTGATGACTGCATTTTTATTATCTAGTAGGGTGCCAGAGAAGTTGATGAGATTTTTTATTTCCTTTATGTGTTACCACAGTGCAAGTGGGAATAATGGGAAGAAAAAATCTAGTGTAATAACGAGTTGTCTGAGGGATAGCTTGTTTCGCTTCCTGATCATACGAACCATTGTATAACTTGTTCCCGAAGGTCCGTTAGTGACTGAGACAGAATTCACGAAGATTTTGAGGTAACTATTTCACCTCTTCGATAACGGAAGTATTGGAATGGAATAATGCATCTTTGGTGAAGAAATTACAAAAATCCGCGGGATTCGACAAATGTAAGGGTTCTAAAATACGGAAAAAGCGGGAGCTTGTACGAGATTACAATGAGGGAAATGGTATGGTAGGCATACATATTCGGTAGAGGTGTCAGTTTTGTATAATTGCGTAAAAGCTAACCACAAATTGTAACACTCTGCTACTGTTGCCATTTCGCTATTTGTCGACGTTGTTGTTTCTCCTTCGTTATGTTACATGTCGTTGTTTTCTTTGATCAGCTATAATATTTGAATTTACAACATGTCTGCTCCATTTTGAATGGTGCAGCCTCTACCGTTCCTCGAAACACGGCCACCCCCGGCTGCAGCGTATAGTAGACGACTTTGAGCCTTTATCGAGCTCTGTCTAGGTCGCCTTTCCACCCGACAGCGCCACATAAGGCATACTTGGGGACACGTCAGGACGACGCATCCCAAGAAAAAAAAAACCCGGACGTTTTTTTTTCATCGTGAACTGTGCCTTTTAGTGATATCTTTGATATCTGATTATTTCATTAGTTTCGAGTAAGCAAAAAAGTCAACAGTGGACTGAGGTAGCGCCCTGAAATCATATGTAACTCGAAGTGGTAAATTCGCGGACCCTAACCGACACCAAACTTGAAGTGGGACCCGCATTCGTCTTACATCATTCGCACGTAGTGTGCATTGGGCTACCCAATGACTTTCGATGGCCAACTCATGTAGTTGTCATTGCTTTTATGCTCCCAAACAGGTAAGGCGCCGTTTGATCGACCCCGGGGAAATCTTTGGCTCGACTGGCCTAGGCCAGTGGAGATCAAGGATTCGTTCCCCAGATCATGCTCGCGATATTGCGCTGCCACTACACCACTTCCACCCATGAAACCAATATAGCCCACCTAAAGAAAGGGAAAAAACCCGCTCAAAGTGTAATGTTATGTCATGCCAACCGACTTCCTTTTAGCGCATTCTGGAATTTCCGGCACAAATGCACTCACTTTTTTATAGTTAGAACAAACTGTCAGAACGCCTTCGACATCCTCCGCTTTTTGAATGCGAATCTTGATTTCTGATAAGGGAATGATTTTTTTCGTGGGAGTATGACTCAAAAACAATTTTTTTCGATGTGAGAACAACAACATTGGTCCACTGATCGGATTAGCTTTCGGTGCCCAGATGAAGAAGAAAACTAGACAGTATTTTTGTCATACAAGAACCTCTTTTAGATACCGGTCACGACCGCAGAAATTGCAATATGAATCATTGAAATAATATTTTCCTGGAGAACAAACGCATAAGCTTCTTGAACATCCCAATACTTCTGATACCTCTATTTATGGCTTTCCAGAGGATGGGTATCAAGTACGACCGCATACTACTCATGTTTGCCCTGCTAGCTGGTGCCACTGCACTGAAGATTCTTCATCTAGCCGATTTTCATCTGGACGTCGACTACTCTGTAACTGGAGACAATCAGCATATGTGTCATAACACCACCAACATCACAAAGAGCCGTTTAGGACCTTTTGGAGACTACATGTGCGATGCGCCCAAGGTATGACTATCGCCACAGTTGTTTTGTAGCAACTCAGATGGGGTAGCTTAGTTTCTCAGCTTTTTACAGGTTCTTTTATCGTCATTTTGATCGTTACGAGATGAAAACTACGTCAGCATAGTGTTTGAACGAAGAAAATGTGCTTCATTTTAGCCTCTTGTCATACATGCCATAGATGAGGCAAAGCGAATCGTTACCGATCCTGATCTCATAATTTGGACTGGCGACAATGTCCCGCACGTGGATGGTTACGACTGGAACTGTGAGTGATTTTGTCAATGAGTAGCGTGAGCATTTCAGGACCGTACCACTACCCTTCCTCCTTGATTGGCGGGGAATACCAACTCCTACTAGCTAAATGTGGCTACTACCAGTTTGTTCGTGAAGTATCTGCCGGAAGTTTAACCCAACCCACGACGTTTTGCGTAAAAGTGCCGCGTGGGACCGGCGCGCTTTTCATTCACCCGCATGGTCCCACACGACCGAAATAGTGCAGTCAACATGTGGGCTGCATGGTCGTCAATGAGTTAATGATACTCCAGACTCCCGAAAACTCTGGAATAATCCGGAATTTCCCATGGAGCTACCATAATTATGCTCATAAACTCATACCATATGCTCATAAAAACTCCGGGGATCTCATGATATTGCAGTCGATTGACCAGAATGCTTCCCATCCTCGACCTTTTTGTCTTCGGTTTTGAAGCATTGAAGCAGACGTGCACGCAACCGCTTCAAAGGAGCTCCCAGGCCAAATTTTGACCCGAGTCTCAATGAGCTCTAGCATGGGTCGAATATGGGGAGGCGATTCGAATACTATGCGGTTGATTAAGAGGGAAGAAGCCGGATCTGGATTTTTGGTGAATTTTCGGCAGATTTTATCCGAACGACCATTAGCATTGGCCCCACTTCCTCTGAAATTGAAATAAATCCGTTGCTTCCTGGGATTTGGATCTGTCCCCATATTGTTCAACTATGGGCGACACAAACATTCCCCTCGACCCTATTCCACATTACTTCAAACACTTTTAGGCATTTTAAGCATTTCTACTATTTTATTGCGTAATGGTCTTGGCTAACCAAGATTCATCCTTTTCAGATGTTATGAATGTGATGAATCTCACTACATCTCTTCTGTTTTCTCGTTTCCCGAATCGACAGATTCTTCCTACATTTGGAAACCATGACTATGCACCTGCGAATGCCTTTGAAAACAACAGCATATTGTATTCGAAAATGTGGGAGTTATGGAAGGAAATGCTAGGCGAAAGTGAGAAGGTAAGTCATACACATACTACGACAGAACAACGTAGAAGCGGGATAGAGGGGCGGTTGGTAATTACCACTTTAAGAAGGAACAGTTTATAGGAGAAAACAAAAATCTTGTGACTATCATAAATTGCTTGAAGGTGGCATTTGAATGTCAAATATTCGATGAAACTATATACATTGTGACACCTAAGTTCCAATTGGTATGTGTGTGATATGAATATATCCACTTTTCCCTCCTACAAGTGTCATTGAGAGGTGAAACGTAGCACCGAATCAAATATGAAACTCCTGATTCCAAGTTCACCACAAATAAAGATCTGCTCTCAATGTAATGCATTCCGAGAGCACGAGATTTGTTGGAAGATGAAGGTTACGAAGTCAAATTGTCCACCTGGGGTACCAATCGAGTCACGGAAGGTTCTCGGGGAGTACGGCATCGCAAGGCTCACCTGATTCTTGAGCACCGTGACCACTAAAAGAAGTATCTCAGATACATGGAGAAGGAGACCTGTCAATCCCATCTTCAAGCGCAAGGGGAACGTGGTGTAATCTAATGATTGACCCTCCGTAGAATCAGGTTGACTGCTTACACGGTCATACCAACTGTGCATCTGGGAGGAACGCTGCGGTGACCAGCCACTCAGCCCTATATCAAACCTTTCCCGATCCGCTGATCTAGTCTTCGTTCTTAATGGAAAATAGATAAGTATGAGGCTTATAACGGGCTGAATCAAAAGCAGGAAGCAGAATCGTTCATAAAGCTCTTGATCCAGTAAGTTGTCAGCTGCGCCGTCTTTCATTGATGACCCTGCGGCAGTGGGTTTAGGGTATCTTCAACTATGAATTATTATACTATCCACTGTGGTCTTTTACTCCTTCTGGTGCTCAAAGTATATTTGGAGAAGTTGTCCCAAATTTTTGGATAAAAGTATAACGAATACAGTATCCGAACTTCTTTTTTTAATTATTTAATATCATATTCAAATTCACGGAACATTATACGAAGAAAAAGCGAACAAATAGCGTAAAAAAGTATTCTGAAATAGCTACTATTAAGGTAATCAACTATGTACGCATTGAAAAGTAAATGATAATCTAAGGAGGCATTGTTTGAGAGCTGTCCTTATCACAGCGAGGTTTTCTACTGAGAAGATTGAAGGTCTATTTGNAGTATTCTGAAATAGCTACTATTAAGGTAATCAACTATGTACGCATTGAAAAGTAAATGATAATCTAAGGAGGCATTTTTTGAGAGCTGTTCTTATCACAGCGAGGTTTTCTACTGAGAAGATTGAAGGTCTATTTGTCGGGCATACTGGCTTCTTATGCTTTCCAACTGATCAGTCATAACTACAGCGTCCATCATGTTGGAGCGTGGTGAAGATCCAATATTTCTTTTCCACCGGATCACTGGAATACCAGATGAGTACCTAAAAAAGGGAAGGACATCAATGAAAACAGGTGCACAAACTACCTGGATATCTATCTGTACTGATTTTAACTGATAGTACGATGTTCAATGTCAGTTAATCGCAACATGAAGGACCCGGTCGTTTGATGGCGCTGCTTCGCACCCACATCACCATTGAGGCGTATATTATTCACTCGCCGCCCACATTTCTGTACAGCGTGGTCTTACTTCGAGCAACTCGTCCAAGCAATTCAACCGCTCGAGCAGCGCTTTGATAGCAACAGCTACCAAAGCGCCGCTCGAGTGGTCATCACTGAACGTGACGGACCTAGTGGCCCTTCTGCAGCTCCCTATTAGTTCCTCTCAGCTGATGCCACTTCCTCTTCCTTCCATCAGCCGCTTGTATCCTTCCAGGTTTGAACGTTCTGTCGTTTCCTTAGACACACAGATTCACCCCCCTCGCCCTCCCTTTCCCACCCACACCCACCAGCACACCACCACCGCCCGCCGTCACGTCGACAGACACAATGAGCAAATTTTACGTAAAATGATGAGTTGGTAAGCATCGACGAACTTGCAGCAAATCAAGACAGACGGCACAACGGCTAAAAGCATAAGGAGAACCAGCGCCATGAGTCGATAGATGGTACGTGGTGAAGGATCGAATATATCCTCCAGTTCAAGACATTGCGGGATCTGAATGAAGTTCTTGAGTTGGCATTACAACATTCTTAGAGATAGTTGGGGCGCTAACCGTGTTACCGCATGCCATGAATTGAGTGAGTTGATCCGGAGGAAAGGTGTGGGGACATCGCATTGGTAACCATACTCGCCATCGTCTAGCAAAGTTTGCCTCTTGAGCCTCGCGTGACTGAGAAATGCAAGTCACTGTACAGGGAGACCACGCCGACCAACACTTCTCGTCCTAAATGATAGAAGCCAATCATGTGGTTTCTAAAATCTTGTTCGATCATGAGGAGAACGTTCTGTGAATCTCAGAACTCACGTTGCTCACAATTTCGCCATAACTGTGTAGATGTAAGCTTCCGAAGATGAACAGCAACTGTAGAAGCAACACCATTCGAACACTTGGTACAATAACAACTGAACCTATTACCTGTATCATCGAATAACAAAGCTTCAGTTATTGATTACCTAATCTCGCCCTGTGGGGTGCTTCCACCTGTGGAAGAGAGTGTATGTAGCGTAGTGCGGAAGTAAGCATACGCAGCTGCTCATCAGTTCTGTCCTCTTTTCGCTGGAGATTCACGAAGGGTTCTCGTAGTGTATAATGTACTGAAGGTTACCTTGGATCAAGTGAAATGTATTTTCTGATGTGTCGTCTGGCACAAGAGGATAATAGATGGCATTAAGTCCGTTATACTAATGAATGGATTCAGCTTGTGGGGATACCTGAGCCAAGAGGGTGGGCCGATGGGATCGCGTCCATACGGCTCTTAGTTGATCATGCGACAAATAGCGCCAAAGCAAAAAACGAGACGAACGACTTTTCCAAAGTTTTTTTTTGCCATAATTATTTAATGTAGTCAAGAAGTGCCAGAAAGACTTGTGCTACCAATATTGCTTACTTTGATGCTCAACACACCAGTTTGGCTATGCACGCTAACGCGCGCGTCGCATTAATTAACCAATCAATTCAACTGGATTCGCAGAAGGTATAAGGAGCTCATCCCATCGTTGCTAACAGTTGGATGTGCTCGCCATCTTTATTAGCAAAATCTCTTGAAAAAGGCCTAGTGACTCTTTATTACTCAAGGAGGAGCAGCGTGCCAAAACAGGTGGCTGTATCAATGGGACTTTTTCTCTTACGATATATCATTAGTAGAGGCTCCCAGATTATTAGCGGTCGGTTCTGTTCTGTTCTGCCATGAATGATATCAAAGCAGAGAGGAATCGTGACCGTTCATTGAAACGCAAACTTCGCTGGGCAGCGGTCGTAAGCAAGAAGTGAACCAAAATTCACAATCGGTCCCTACCAATGCACTCACCCTTCTTGTCGAATGAAACATATCAAAGAATCAAAGCTGGATCGTAAATATTAGGTTGAGTCATAAGTCCTCAGACAAAATGATAGCGATGACTTCTAGAAATCATAACTCGGGAAAGAGGAGACGAAAATGGACTCGCGTGGCATTGTTAGATAG